TTCCCCGCCTGGTGTGTCCGGTCTATGTACGTACATCACAGCACCCAAATGTACCCTGCACTGGCCGGGTGGGGTGGCTGCGCATCGATGGTTCTCTACGGTGGGCCTTCCCGTCTATTGCCTAAGAGAATGGGGGCGGACCACTGCTCGCTGATCCCCCTTCTAGATATGTCTTTTCTTGGCCTATCCCCTAATGCGCAAACGTCCCGGCACTAGAGCCCGTCACCGCAAACTGTATAGCTTGGCCCGTCGCGGGGGAGGGCTTGAACCTCCACTGTGTAGTCCCGCAACCAACTGAGGGGAGGGCCAAAACCTCCACTGGCATATTCCTCAGCTATGCTCTTGGCCACAGGTAATCACCTGTATCGCCCTAGCCTTGGCTCATAACCAGCAATGTACTGGTGTGGCTCCACGGGCTTTGGGAATTGCTCTCCAGGGTATAGGCATTCAATCGGGAAGTCTTAACTACTGGCACCGGTACTTGAACTCTCAATGGTCGCTATCGGAGGTCCCCCTTTCTGTTCCAGTCCATTCAACCACGTGGGGCGCCCCTTGCCACGGCCACACGTCAGCAAACACGATGCGGTACAGGTGTCACCAGAATATTCCATCGAATCCAATGATCCACCAACTGTAAGGGGCAAAACTGCCGGAGGCAGATTGCTCGGCGATTTTGGTCAGGCAGCAACTCAGTTTTGAGTGTGGAGACAAAGGCACAGAACCGCAGCGAATTTGGATTACAATGTTCACCTTGGATGGCTTTAAATAACCGTCCAAGGGCGGGGTTTAGGCAGCCCAATCGGCACATGCCAGATTGGCAAATTTGTAATGTTCAGATGTTCAAATTCAAAACCCTCCCGTGAACCCCAGTTTGTCCCGCAAGTCACTCTGACTAACCCCAGCGTCATTCTCACCCAATCTTTGCGGGGCACCCCATGGGTCTGTCCCACGCGCCTTGACCCCGAACGGTGCCCGGCTTGGTGTGCATCTCACACCCCGTTCCGTCTATATTAAATATCTATTATACAACCCGTGCCCATTTGGCGCGGCTCAGAAACTAATAGTACAATGACTACCCATGCTATTATACAATAATGTTGCCGTATTGTACAAGTCCCCAAACGGCTCCCCTCACACCGACCCTCTGACGTGGCCCAAGTGATACGGTTGCTTTGTAGATGTAGTAAATGGGAACATTTAATTAATAGCAACCTAAGGGTTGAGTTGTGGAACACTCGGGTGCAAAGGACAATCAAACGGACAATTTAACTGATGTATAATCAAAGCCTTTTAATGTCATGCCCCGCGGGTCTGGTTGACTCCCCGTTCATCCGACCTGTGCGCCCGCGGGAGCAACGAAGCTCCTGCATCACCAAGGCACACTACGCTCCGCGGCACGGCACACCACCTGCCCCTCTCAGCAAAGGGGCGCAACTCCTCCGAACTGACTCGCCGCCTCCCACGGCCCACGCACCGAGGTCGCCGCGATGCGTCCACCCAATCGTTGGCGGCCCGCCGGTCGATTCAACTTGGTCGCGGGAATCGCACCGTCGATCCCCTGCGGGCCGCAACCCCAATCCTTGCTACAGGGGTGTAGCCACTGTCCGCCACGTGCAACCCCTTGCTGTGCCATTCAAAACACGCCGCCAGCCGGCCCAATCGTTGCCGGACTTCACTCGATCTCTGGCGTCAACCTGTCGCCATCAATCCACCGCGTCCGTCGATCTCTGCCCGCGAGGTCACACTTCCGCGGGCTACTCTTCCGCTCTTCCGGGGGCGCTCCTTCCCCCTTGTGGTCACACTTTTGAATTCGAGGGGGCTGGCCGTTCAAACAGCCGGCTTCGAAACCAATGTTGGGGCAAACCCCACACGCGTGCACAGGAGGGAGAGACACGCACTGGCAACAACGATGTTACTATCAGAGGAACCACGTACGCTGAACAAGTACCCCAATGTCAAATTGATGGTGGGCCCATAATAGTATCATTAAGGCATGAACAAAACAATCCCAAGAGAGAGAAAGAAACAAAACTACCCCACTCCCCTAAAAGCCACACAGCCCGGCAACTAAATGTTGGGTCCCTAGGTTGAACGGCAATAGAATACACAATAGCAACCGTCTCGAGGTAGGCTTCCCCACTCAGGCCGGCAGCATGCTCCTCTGCCGAGCACGCTCCAGACTGCTCGGTCGCCGGTAGAGATTGCATCCCGTCGCGGCGCACGGCCCGCTCCATCCAATCGGACAGGCCGGAACCTTCTATCCGCACCGCCGCATGCCCACATTCTGAGCTGCGCGCATCTGCCTCTTGGTTTTCCCCCTTTGCACCATCCCCTTCCACCGTTCGGCCTTCCAACCTGGCCGTCATGTGCCTTACGTGATCGCAAGGAGTGGGGCCATTCGGCGGATGACCGCCTTTGCCTGCCACTTCTGGTCGCCTTCGTGCAAAAGGCCGGTTCTAAAGCTCGCCAGGTTTGCTCCCGTTTTTGCCACCTCGGCGCGGAGTGCTACGCCACCACTCCTGGAGTTGGACCAACGAAAACGCCACTTCGTTCGCCTTGATCGCCATTTGGTCGGCTTTTCAGGCAAGCGGGTAGTGGGCCAGTAGTTTGCATCATGCGGCCATGCTGCAGCACGGAAAGACCATAAATGGCAGGCCCAGTGGTCACGCTTTTCGGTCACACAACGGTTTCCACAGTAACCCCTCACAGACACACAACAGATGCTGGGGTACCCAGTGTGTGGTCCGCGGCCTGGTTAGTGGTGCAACGCAGTTCCCACATAGCTCAAACAGGTGCTGCAGGTTGCCACCATGCGGGAGCTGTGCATTCCATTCCTTTCCCTTGCTTTTGCCTACGTTTGCCTACGTTTGCCTGAGTTATTGCCTACGCACTGGATTGAGACAGTTGCATGGAGCGCCAGGACTTGCTGTCAAACGGGTGACCACAACGACTGTTCTACATTGTAGGTGGGTTGCCATTTCTTTGCAAATATTCTTACAAATTGCCTTTGACGCACCATGTTGCAGTCCTGTTTCATTTCCTTCCTTTTCGTGTTGTGCAATTCGCGTCTGGACAGGTCACTTGGGCAATGGACACCAATGACGCCAGGAGGCCCTCTGGAAGCCTTGCGGCACTGAATCAAAGTGTCGGCATTACCATGCCCTGGACCGTATTGACAGAGACCAAACCTAGCGCTCTGGAGGCTGATGTTCATCCCTGCAAGGAGGTGTGGGTCAGCAACGCTTCACAGAGGAACTGTCTCAGCTACGCATTGCACAACAACTGAAATTGAGTGCAAGGGAAGTGCGGTTCCTATGCAACTAGGAACCTTACTGTGGTGTTGACTGATAGAGCTGCCATCACACAGCGCGAAATACACACAGCTCCACTGCAACACACCAATTGGAACAAATCACAACTCCGCATGTACAACATCCTTGCTCAACATCCATGAGGCCCACACCCACAAAAGCTTCACCCTTGGCGCTGATGGAGTGCTATCATCAACTGGCTGAGGGGCAGCATGGAAGGTGGTGTCCATACTACGGCCTTAATTCACCATAATCTTTTCCACCTTGGAGCTGCAGCTCCATCTTTTGTGCCCTCCATCCAGCTCCCAGAACCGTTTGTTTTTTCCACCTATCTGCCATCTTACATGACATCAAGGCCACCTTGGGCATGGCCTTCAGCGCCTCCTTATTTTGCTCCAATCCTCCTCTCTGTCGCAATGTCATCTGGCAAACGGCACATGTTCATATGGTGCGTGAAGTTGCTGGTTTCTATTGATTTCGCAAGGTGCATGAGCTGCAGTGAATCCCAGCTGTACTTCACCATTGGAACATTCAGTGCAAGCCAATGGTGGAACGTTTGATTTGAAGACATCAAGCAAGTAGCTTTTTGCAACAAGGCACAGTCAGTACAGGTCCTTGAACCGTTGTTCGTATGCTTTATGTCACCAAAATTTTTGAGTCTTCCGTCGTCGGCTTTGCTCAATCGTTGTTCAGCCCTTTCCCTGTGACGATCGCCTCCAATTAGGGCAGGAAGGCTCCTTGTCAGGATTTAGCCCCTCTCACCTCCCCCTTTCTTCATCCAGTACGGTCAGCCAGCAGCGATACTCCACCATTCGAGGGGAGATTGACTTCAAAGTGCGATTGATCTGTTTTCACCCTGCCCAGGAATTCGATACCGTCGCCCAAGGGCCCCATTGCGGCCCTTCAGTCATCCACCACCGTAGCAGCAGCTTGGGACTTTGCCTGGAGCTGGCCTTTAACCTGGACATTCTGTGTGCGGACGTTGCCAGACATCGCCAAGGCAGTCCCGAAGGGCAGTGCCTCGACGCTTTTGTCCAAAGCTATCAAACGACTCACACCGAGGCGAGCGGGACCCCCGTTCCTGCCCGTCCCCATCGAACCTGCACGCCAGCACATCCTTGTTCTTGCCCCCATCCCCCCCCACTTCCCCTTCTAGGGCTGGACGGAGGGGACTCCAATTCGGGCGCTCCCCATCCGCGGCTTGGGGCGGCCGCGGCTTGCGGTTCTTCCTGTCGCCACGCCGGGGGCCGCAACGCGGCAGGGCGCCTCCAGGAGCTTTCAGATTTCCACGGTCGACATGGTGCCCCAAAACTTCAGAAGTCTGGCCCCTTTTCCCCGCCTCGCCACCCGGTCTACCCAACCCTACCCCACGGCTTCAAGCACCTTCCACGTTCTCGGAAACAAGCGTGGTCAGTGGCGCCCATTACTGGTAGTAGCCCGATTAAGCTTTCATTAGTTCATTCAAATGCTGGCACTGGCTTGTCCATGCTTGTTGCCCGCGCCGCAGTCCTTGCGGGGTTGCGTCCACCTGCGGTCGCGGTCCGTTCGTTTTTTGCGTTGGGCGCCATGGGGACCAGGATCTACGTCGGTGCGGCCTCGCGGCGCCCAGACCAGCCCCCGCGCTCGCCTCCTTGCGCCGTTTCCAGACACCCGGTCGTGACGCCGCTGCGTGTGCCCTTTTCTGACCAGGAAACCTCCCCGTGGGGATAATCGAGTCCGAGTTGGAGGAGGAGTTTGCGCGATTCGGCCCCTTGAAGAGCCTGTGGGTGGCTCGCAAGCCGCCAGGCTTTGGTGAGTGCCGTGGATGCGTCCATCGGGCGCCTGCCTGCGTGTGGCGCGCGGCCGGCCGCCTTACCAAAGTTCCAATGTTACCGCGCGCTGCTGTGCCGTTCCTGTGCACTCCTCCGGGAGAGCACAGAGGAACGCGATCGGGCTCGTTCGCTGGAGCCGCATTTTCAAATGGCATTGTGGTGATGAGCTTTTTGTTTTCCTGTGAAGATTCGGCTCCCTCTCCCCTGCCTCCCTCGCGTCCACTCCTCAACTTCCGCGACGCCTCCTCCCCTGTTGTCTGTGGGGCCCATGCTTCTCACCACTCACCCAACCTGTATTTAGAGTCGGGGCTTCCTACAACACGTTGAGGAAACCACCCATCAGTCATGCTATCAACTTCGCCAGATGACGCCAAAAATCTGTACGTGAATTCCGAAGGGCTCACAGCGGGTGGGAACGCTGTGTGTGTGTGTGTGTGGGCTGGGGCTGGGTGGAGGCATGTACTTTGGTGATAGCCATGCGCCCTTCGCTTCTCTACCTTGTCTCAAGTTGGCCCTGGCAGGAAGGGCCTGTAATATACAAGCCACAGCAGTGGCGTTGTGTACCCATTGTGCTCTGTTTCCGGCTGTGCCCATGTAGTTCCACAGCGTGGTGGCCTAGTAGGCTACTCATTTGTCTGTTGTTTTGGCTAATCAACTTCGTTTGGCAGCTAGTGTTGGGCACATTTGTCAGCGTAAAGCGATGTGGGGCTTCACAAGCGTACTGAGTTTGTGCGTCAGGTATGTCGACCAGTGTCTTTTGGGGGGGGGGGACAGTGCATTCGTCAGTTAGTTCCTGTGCTTTGGCTGATAGCCAGTTGCTGACTTGTCCTGTGTGTTTCTGGTGCTGTTGTGAGCAGCTTTCGTCGAGTACTCGGTGAGTCAAATCTGTTCCTGTTCACTGCCTCTTCGACGTGCAGAGTCCAGCTGCTGTTGGATTGTCTAACTGTATCTGTTTGGCAGGATGAGAGGGATGCTGATGATGCTGTGAAGGGCATGGATGGCATCAGGGGCTGGGTGAGGATGCAGTTTTTGTTGGCACTTTCACATCATGGATTAAGTGTGGTTGCCACTCCTTGCGATTTGTCTCTTTGTTGTGGATTGGTCATTGCTTTAGCAGCAGAGAAGAGTTCACATCATTGTGGGCTGTTCTTACTTGGATTGTTCTTGCCATTCAGAGAGTGGAGTTTTCTCGAAGAGGTGCAGGAGAGCGCGGGCAGGATAGAGGAAGATATGGCTATCGTGGCCGAGACCGGAGGTGAGGGGTGACAATGAGTGCTAGTGACATGGCGGACAGCAAGAGCAGCAGGGTGCCATTTTGTTGTTTTTGGTCTTGGATGCCAATGTAATCTGCTGCACACATGGCACATGTGCTCTTTGTTGTCACTTGTTGATAATTTGTCTCACCTCCACATCCACAACTATCCAAAGAGTTGCCAAGGGTTTCTGCAACTGATGTGGGATGCCTCGATCGACAATTCTCATAGTGCTTGGATTTGTATGACTCTTGCTAGTGGGCAAGTGTTTATGCCACCAGAAGCCCAGACTACAGTCTCCAGCGCAGGATATGAAACGAGTGGCATGTGCACTGGAACAGCCTCATGACCTCTGCTGGTGGTGGATGGCAGAATTTCCATTGAGCTGGAGGCATGCTACACAACAAGCTGGTGCCCTAACGGCAGTGCTGCCTCTAGACGCGCTGTTTTATGTGCAGATATTAGGTGCCGAAACTCTTGTTCTGTGTCCCCTGCAGCCCTGATGCCTATCGTCGCCGTCGTAGCCCAAGCTATGATAGGCGCAGGTACAGCCCCCGCCGCCGCAGGTCGCCCAGCTATGACAGGTATGGGGACAGACGTTTGTGGTGGCTGACAAAAATTTGCACTTGATCGGGAGAGTGCCACACAACAAACTGGCGACTGAGTGGCAGTGCTGCCTACAAACAAGCTGTACTTGTGGGCATAAGGTCACTTGTGAATACTCTTGTTTTGTGCCCCCCGCAGCCCTGATGACTATCGCCGCCGTCGTAGCCCAAGCTATGATAGGCGTAGGTACAGCCCCCACCGCCGCAGGTCGCCCAGCTATGACAGGTACGTGGATAGAGTTTGGTACAGAAGGTGCTCCAGCTGCACATGTTGCAGCAGCCACTCCTGTGGCAGGTGTAGCCCCAAACTTCCGAGTTGCAAATTTGGGCAGATACAGATGTTGTCGAGTGCAAATTTCATAGGAGCCGTGACTGACAACAATCTGTTGCACAACCCTGGCATGCTGGCAGGCGGAGCCTTTATAGCTACTCAAGCCTTCAGTATCTGTTCTTCCTTCTGTAATCTATACTATTGAAGATCATTCCTTTTCACTGGGCCGCCTCACAGGGTTTGTTGCTGGGAAGGACCCCTGTCCTTCGCCATGAAGGTATCACTCGTCAGCACATGGTGTGGATAAGCCATGTAAGACATTCAGCCATGGGCTGGGAACACAAACTGCAGCGGTTAAGCATGCCATCATCGCCTTGTGGGCACAGGGGTGTCGATTGGTCCTCAGTACGAAGTTATCGAAGTAGAATTCAGCCATGAAGGTGGAAAGCCAGTGCTTGCAATTTTGCAAATACGCTATCAATGGAAGGGCCGCTTGAAGACAGGGAGAGGTCCTCCCTGCGAAGTACGTGACAAGCAGGCACTGCGATTTTATCTACAACTGTGTTGGAGTGAGTTGGTTCCTCTGCTTTGCTGGTGATGGACACGTTGCTTGGCTTGGCTGCTCCAGGGACCGTTCACACTCTCGTGGGCGTCGTCGCTACAGGTCAAGGGACCTTTCAGGGAGCCGTGGCAGGTCCAGAACACCAGCGAGGGCGCGTGAACGCTCCCGTGAAAGGTCAAGGGAAGTATCAGCGTCTCCACCTCCCAGGTCGGTGGATCGATCGTATGAGGCCAATGGGCATTGAGTCGGGTTCTGAGGATCTGTTGGGGGCTGTGGGTCGCCACTGTGCCGCACTGCAAACAGGAAGACAACAAGCAACAACACTGTGACAAGCAAAAGAACCTGGTGTGCTGTGTCCACGGTGTATGCTGTGTTGCAGATTTTATTGCTACAGGGCGCCTCTTGCTGTTGATGGGTTGGCAGTGAGCTGAACATCATATGGAGGAGGATTGGCTTGTGGGCCTGTGCGACGGCTGTTGGGATCGTGTCGGTTAGCAGACTAAAAGGGCGCAGCTGCACAGGGTACTGGCAGCCATTCTGGGGAAGCGGATCTTTGCAGAGGGGTGTGTGGGGAATCTGTGTGGAGAGTGCTGAAAGGGCTGCCGCCTCAGCGGTGCCAAAAATGACAGGGAAGAGTGCGAAGTGCTGTGTTCTGAGCATGGAAGTATGTGTAACCAGCAAATGTGGAGTCGTACGCATCCCCCTGTTGCTCAAACTACCTTGCGTCGCCAGGGACGGGCGCCAACGCCATTGGCAGCTCATTCTATAACTCTTGATCTGGCTGACTAACCTAAATAACAAATTCAAGGGCATCTGTCCGAACTCTTTGCAACTGCATTAATACATGTAAGGCATGCATGCCGTTCCAACCCTCTATGTGCTTCGCCCAGCTTTTATTTTGTACAATCCCCCCTGGTGTACGACCTTGTTTCGTTCCATCATCGTCGCCAAGTAGGCCGCCAGCTGGTCCTGCAGCTTGTCGTACTTTGGCCGTATGCAGAACATTCGCAGGTGCTTGTGGATCTGCTCCAGTGTGCAGCCCCCGGGGTTGCACCCGTTGGCGAGGAAGTCCACGATGTAGGTTTCGAACGCCTTCAGTTCCTCGTGGCCCTGCACTGGGGCGGGGGTCATGCAGCTGGGGCCCTCGTCCTCCAGGCCCAGATCGGCGGGGGCTGCGGTGCCTGCACAGGAGACAGTGAAAACGTCCCTCGTTCCCTGCTTGGCACTGTTGGACGAACCGTGACGCATTCACCGTGTGTGAGCGATCCTCCCAGCGGGAAGCGCGTGGACTCCCCATCAATGCAGGGTTGTCGCTTTCCTCCTGCCGATGCAATTAATGAAGTGTCCACCCACATTCCAGCACCTACGCGCCCTTTGGAGCGAGGAGGCTGTTGCGGGCAACCTCGCAGGTTTCTTGTAACCTCTTCAGTCAAAAAGTACCCGTACATGGAACCCAACAAACCAGGTCCTGTGATTGCGTTGGTTGTTTTGTTGGTCAGATGCCTAGCAAGGGTCCCACGTGCTGGCAGCCCGATGCCTGGGCATTTCCAGCCCCTCCTTTACCTTGCGTATAGCAGACCACGTACTGTGCATTGATGGCACGTTGGGGCCTCCTTACATTCCAATGGTGTACCAAGCTACGTGGACAGCCCGTATTTTCGCATTCGCAAACCGTTTGGTGAAAACTGCAACTGCTCCTTACCGCTTGGTTTCCCATGCTTAGTGGTGTTGACTCTAAACAACTCTACCTCCCCAACCCCCACCCAAGAAAAGTCCAAAAATCTTAACAAACACCAAAAGCCGAGTTGGAGACACCCATAAAACCAGCTGCAAACACCCATGCACCCCGATCCTGAAGACATGCGCTGCAAATGCACAGAAACAGGCTGTGGACTAGCATGAGAATAACGAGTATATCAATAAAAGGGCTGTCAAAACCAGCCTAAAGGGGAGCGGCGCGCTGTACAGCGCCGTGGCTTCGAGCTGTGCAGCCACACCAATGACTGCCCTCCACGGTCGCCCCCAAGCTTGAGCCTATCCGCAATCCTGCATGTGGATGTGCGTCGTCGCGCCTGGCCTTACCTGCTCTGTCGTCCAGGGCCTCAGCTCGTTGGTAGAACATGTCCCCCCGCCTGCCCCGGGCCTCCACCAGGACGCCGTTATTCACCCAGAACAGGGCCTTCGCCCGCAGCACCTGGGGCGTTAGGCCCAGCTCGCGCGCCAGGTCGTCCGGCGTCCACCTGCGAATGATCACTCGCAACATCACTTCACCATTCAGCACACCATTTGCGCGTTGTGTGCCCATTTTAATTGCATTTGCCTGAGTGACGACACACGGCCCTTGCACCTGCACGTTTGCGTGGCACAATCGGGCGATGGCTCTGCGAACGTGTGGGGAGCAAACACGCATTTGTACATATGAATGGCAGCCAAAATCTGTGCAAGGAGCAAGGGCCCATTTCCATTTGCGGGACACAAGCGTACTCCCAAGGTAGTGGTGCTATGGGCCCGCGATCGCCAAATTTGATGCAAGTGCCTTTGCTTTGCCACGCGCGACGTGTGCTAGCTTTGGGGATTTCAAGACAATGCAAAGAAAGGAGCACCTGGACAGCGCCTGGAACATGTACAAGATCATGGCGTAGGTGGGATTGACCGTGAAGCTGCGGGTGGTGCGGCCCACAGTGACAGCCAGTTCCACGGAGCCCAGGCCCGTCCTCCAGACGAGCTTCCTGGGCGCTTTGTGCTGGTGGTAGCGATCTGCGTAGACATCCAACCGCTGGCGAATTTCTGGCGGAAGCTTGATGTCGGTGTCTGGCAGTTCCGGCCAAAAGAGCTCCGAGATGATGGTTGCTGACAAGTTGGCCTGGTCGAGCTGCTCTCCACGCCTGCAGGAGAAGCACCCATCAAGTTGATGCTCAGGCTACATGCAAATTCGACACAGTGTGCGAACTGCTCTTCCCCGTGCTGCACTGTAGCCACCAAACAACCATCGCACCCTGCCTTTTATGACTGCGGATCGCCTGCGCGTCACGACCCGTGCAGACATGCGACATGCAGACAACAGCAACGCGCCCGCAACTTCCAGGCCATTGGCATCAACTTCACGCGGCAGGAAGGTCTGGCAACATCATTTTGGAATCTCCTCTCGCCATCACATCTCCCTCTACTGTGCATCAACAACCCTGGGCGCCCCCGCGACGACCGACATCGCCAAGGCGCATGCGCACCGTTCGATCCCGAGGGGCACATCGCATCAACGCGGGATTGCGCCACGCACAGAGGCGATGCGTAGACGTTCGAGTCTAATTTGGCATGGCCCGCACCCGCGGGCCTCAAGGGCCTGAACTGCGACGGAACGTATGACCAGATACGATCACAAGACATGAAAGCATTTACCGGCGGCGGCTGGCTTTCATGAGCAGCGTTTTGGATTGTGAACAGCTTCCGCCATCGCCCAATAGCTGCGAGGACATTGTTGCACCACATTTTGAAGACCGCATATCATTTTCGCTTAGCATGAGCAAAATGAAAACTCACACTTTCAGAAGAGGCGTTTGCGCACAGTTTGCTTGAATCACTCGACTAATTCGACCCGCGTCGTCCATTGAGCGCATTCCCGCCATGTCCACCCACCTGCTCCGCCTCTCAACGGCAGCGGACGTGCCCTCGTTGTTCACCAGCGTGCTGTTGATACGCTTTGAGTCGCCCATGTCCTTCAGCATGACCTCGCAGTTGTGCAGCGCCGTCTCATCGAAGCGCAGCTTCAGCAGCTCGAGCGTTTGAATCTCGTGGTCGCAGTCGTAGTCCGTCTTGGACAGCAGTTTTTCTCCCAGCGTCTTGCGGTATTCCTCTATGAACATGTCCTTGCTGCCGTACACGCCAACTAGGGTTGACACAACGTCGTTGAGCCGCTTCTCATTGCGGCGCACGATCTCGGTGTCAATGATGGGGTCGGGCTCCCATGCGGTGGCAGCCTTGAAAGCCATTTCGTCATCCTCGCCTGTTGCCGTCAACAAATAACCAACGTCAGAGGCCTCATTTGACAGTGCGGGCATCCTGGAGCATTGGCTCGAACAACACACAGGAATCAAGCGAACGTGTGGAGAACATGTATCAGAAAACAGGGGTACAAAAATGACGAAATATGGTTGCGCAAATCTGACAATACAGATGTGCAACGAACGTGGCAGCCAGGAAGAGAACACAAGGTATATCACGGGGCGGCTCGTGTCACCAGGTCGCCGGCCACTAGACAGTATACACTGGCGAAAGATTGTCCAGTATCAGTCTCGTTGTGGGCAGGAACACCTGAGCACAGAAATGGAGTTCTAGATTGGCAACAATATTGCAATGCCGTGCCTGGTGGCACGCCCAGTGAGAACTGTACTCGCAGTGTATGAGAATCCAGCATACAGTTGAACACCGAGTCGGAAGTGCACCAACTTGGTCCACCCCGCATCGAACAGTACAGCAAACGAGAAGATTAATATTCAGTAACTTGGACAGGGAATTCAATGTGATATGGTGTGTCCCTCCAGCGCCTCATGCTGCCCTCAATCCAGGGGGATGTGAGAGTGCGTGTGCGCATGTGGTGCAGGGCAACACTGCTACCACAACACTGTGGTAGGCCCAGAAATCCCCGTCCCCCTGATGCCGAAAGATCATTGACGGCATTCCATTCAGTGTTTGACCTCAAAAGGCATCGTGACGAGAAAAATGGGGAAGGTGTGGATGAAGGAAAGCGGGATCCCTTGTGGTCAACAACGACAAGCTCCAAATCACCTTAGTAAGCTACCTCCAACAATTGTGTAAGGCAGCCCACACATGCAACATGTGCAACACTGGATGGCTAGCATGCTGGCACCATCTGGGCCACAGCCTGCTCATTCTTGGACTGCTGACTTCTATCTGCCATCTGCCAACTGGACACAGTGGGAGTGGCACAACCAACACACATTAGCAAATTTGGTTTTGGCGCCTGTGGTCTCTGACCATAGCAGCAGGATCGGCATCTCTTTTAAAGGTGGGAACCCTGTCTGTTCTATGCTGCTTCATCACATCAGATTCCACAGGCACGTTGCAGCTGCAACGCACCTGTGCAGTGAACTGCAGGCCGTCATCGCACTTTGATGGACTCAGCATTGGAACCGTTCTGCGTTCACAGTATCTTTTCGTTGGTTGCGGCAGACAATACTGAACCCTAATGTCGCAACATGTGGCACACTTGAACAACACGAGATCAAATTTAAGCAACAACCTACAAAATGTGTCTGCGTCAGAAAAAAATGAACTCGCCTTCCTTGTCACTGTCTATTTGGGTGTCCATGGCGTCCGCCAGCTCTTGCAGCATGGAGGCACCGCCGTTGTCACTGCTGTTTGTCAGTTTATTGACTATGCACTTCATCGAGTCCGGCCTGTGGTGGAGATACTGCCTGTATTGATCAGTCATGGCATTCAAAAGGGCTCCTGGATGGCAGGCACAGGACCATGTGACTGACGATTGAGAGAACTCCGCACCCAACCACTGACCAGAATGCTTGCAGCTGTATATAGCAAGCACATGGCAAGTTTGCAACTTCCATAGCATCAGTTTTGTGTATTCAGATTTGTGCACTTCGACTATGTGCTGTGAACACTGTCTTCGAATCAGAGTGCTATGCAAAAGTCCAGGACCAAAACTACAATCGATTCTGCTTGAATATGAAATTTGGCATTACAGGGGTCCTGGCAAGTTCCACAAACAACAGAACAGTCTCATGTCCAACACTTAAATGCGTTTCTCGTTGCACCCCAATGCACGACTTCTTTCCCTGCACAACTTGCAACCTGAAGGGCACCTACTCTGGACTGGGCGACTACGTGCACAAGGGTCATTCGTACACAATGACACACAGCTTGCAACATGCTAACTGCAACCATTTGCGGACAAATCAGCAGAACAACCTCGAGTTCAGCAAATCAATTTGACAAATGTAATCCACCAGATTGGAAGCAAAGTAGATGGGCAGCATTCTCCATTCTATACAAAGCAATCAAAACAGAATGTAGACACAGCCAGTGTCACCAGCCTCATACCTGTGGGGTCCACTTCGCTGATCGTCTTGATCATGGCCACAAAGTGGTCGATGATGTCCAGAGTCGAGGCGGCTGGCTGCAGAAGTCTGCGGTCCAGGGCTGAACGGAAGACCTCCACACACCTGCGCTGAAGATTCGTGTGCTGGAGGCACTCATGAAGGTCCCGAACAGCGGGTGAGCTGTTGTTGTAGTCAGTGACGATGTCGAACAGCTCCTGGATCCTCAACTCCCCCAGTGTCTCATAGACACGGTAGTCCAGACGAGACTTCCACTGCTGAAGCAGGGGCCCAACGGGCTCGCTGTTCGTGGACGACAAGGGCAGCACAAGCTTTAGGAACTCCTGCGGGACTGCTGCAAGGTACTTCTGTGCGGCCGGGAGGATGCACCGTGTGAAGTCCTTGTCTTGTGTGTGCCGGCTGAGGGTGTCATGAATGTGTAGGAACAGTGCTGTGCCATACGCCTTTTCAGAGGTGCTCTCCAGACCAAGGAGCCTGGGGCGACACAGGAATGCATGTTAGGTGGCTGACTACATAGCATCACATTTCTGGCACCCACCTTGCAGATCCATGGTCGAAAATTGCAACGTGTCTGCCACAGAAACTTTGGAAGCGCTTGACCCACAATAAAGACAACGATGTGACACTGGACGGAAGGCTACAGCACCAGTGTTTTCTGCTTGTTGGTGTGGAGTAGGGCGGTGGGGAAGTGTACACTAGGATAGCGGTGATGTTCTCATATTTCCACCCGTGAAATCCGGTGGCGATCTTCAAGTGTCAGCAAGAAGCCAGGTATCATTTGTTGGTGACTATTGCTGCAAGCTGATCCTGGCTAGAAAGACCAGGCGAATGATTTATCTGATTTTAGACTTAGCATGCCTTGCAGTTTATCCTCACTGACTACCTCTCCTCCGATGAACGATCCACCACCCAGGCTGAGACTAAATTCTGACAACTTTGAAGAATAATACTGCATGAGCAGATCTGCTCACAAATGCAAGCCAGATTCCCTCAGCATGCAAGTGGTTGATGGCACGGGGTTATATGAGGCTTCTCATTGCCAGATTTTCAGCCAACACTTGCCAGCAGATGCCAGAACTTTCAAGTAGGTCTCCACAATCCTGCACTGCTTGGCTCACCAGACTGGTCACCACTTCTCACCAAACTGTTGCTAGGGCCAGAGTTGTTGCCCAGTAAATATTATTTTTCTCATATTTTATGTTAAATTCACGTTCCTCAAGCCCAAAGTTTGCTCCTGCTGGTCCACAACAGCAGCATGTGGGAGTAAATTACTGTTGTCACACAAAGATGGTGTGGGCATATCCTCATAGCACTTGGCAAAAGGACTCAATATACTGCAACCAGAGAACAACTGCAGAATACATTCCCAACAACATGGGTGCAGCTTGGGCAAGTAAGAATAGGCAGATCATCTCAAGCACATATTAAAGAAGACAAGGCATGTTTCATTAAAAAAATTGGCTATCTTGCACCATTAATACCATTCAATTTGGCCCAGCAAGAACTGTCATATTTACAGAGTGCACAGAGCCTGCCTGTTTCACAATGTTGCACGAATTTGCTCTTCAGTGGATAAAGATGACCTGGCAGCCATTAATTTCTGGAGGGAATGTGCAACAAATAAATTGTGCATGAGGCAGTTAGAGAATGGTTGAAAGGCAGCAATCCAGTGTGTTGACAACTGATATAATCAGGTGAATCAGGCACACAAGTTTGCGGCTGGGTACGCACATCGGTAGTGCCCATATCCAAGCCTGTGCAATGCTCATACCCAGACAGTGCCTGGTACCTGAAAGGCTGGTGGGTGCTGTTGCCAAAACTAGTGCGCTAACCGATCTGCGATGGTGTTTGGAGAGGCTTGACAACTGTGACACGCAGGACACCCCTGACCGGTGCCCACTGACAGACAGCAGCATTTTGTTCCCCAGGGCCTCAAGTTGCCGGCACTGGAACTCCACTCGGTGGCAAAGCAGCTGGAATAACAGCAAATGCATGTCATTGGGCTCAGGCAAGAACGTTCTTAGTTGTGGACTCCATTCCAGTGCAGCATTGGCTGCCACAGGCAATATACTCATGTGCGTTAGCTTGTGAATGTTCACCAACACCAACACCCCAATGTCAATGTTGATCAACGCCAGACTCCCTACATGGCCTTGCCTGTCTTTTCTTTCTTCTCATTTCGTGGTTTGTGGCACTCAAACGGACACTGTTGACCCTGGATGGGTACGGATTTCGCGACATGGTGGATGCACAAATTGAGGACGCCCCAGAGAGCGCTGAACGCCAATCTATACTCGCGTACACAGCTGGATCAAACAATAAACACAGCCCAACTGCCAAAACTGTGCACCCCCAATGGAAATTTGGAGGTGATGTTTCGTGTTCTCCTCCTTACCTGCAATGCCTCAGGCAATTGTCTGTCAAGCTGCTGGGATTGTGCATTGTGGCTGCTTTCCGAAACTTGACGCCAGAATCCATCAAGATACTTGGTGGAGAGGACAGCCTGTACAATGAAAAGCGCTCTTGACAAGTGGATTTGTCTCAGAAACGTGACAAAGTTCCACAACAATGTAGAGCTCCTCCTCTAGTCAAGCTGTCTTTGTTCTACTGGCATGAACTGTGACAGGAGTATGCACAGCGACACAATCCTTAACAACGAAATTGCAGTATTCAGTGATGGTCACGGCATGTCCATGGCCGTCACCTTGGCTTGGTCCAGAGCGCAGACAGCCCCCAATTCTGCAAACTCCGGGTCCGTGCACAGCTCCTCAACTCCTGGAAGCCCCTGGAGCGTCTCAAACGTGGAGTCCTGGAACAGGGAGCCAGGCGGGGAAGGCGCTGATCAGCCATGTCCTTACTAAAGCAATCAGTGAGGGCCTCCACAACAGAAAACTGCATTGCTTGCGAACATCGCTCGTGATGAAGCGGCTGCAGTTGCCAAAGTCTATGGTGGATTTTGCCTGCAGACGTCAGAACCTAGTGTTCCGCGGTTGGAAGAGGAGCGCCCCGCGCGAAGCTTGGCAGCGCCCCTCCAACGCATCGGCACATCTCTTCCCGGAAATCACGCCATCAAACCCTGTGATTGGCCCCGCGCGTCCCCAATCGACTGCGCAAGCGCGCACACGTCGCCGAGGCGCCGTTCGCAGACTCGCCAAGCGGCTCAGCCAGCCCTCTCCCCGCTCACCCTTGTCTCCACCTCGGTGCAGAACGCCGTCCACGCGGCCAACGCCGGCCCGGCCGCCGCGCTGGCCATGAACGACGCCGGCAGCGCAGCTCCCCAGCACACAGCCCCCCCCGCCCAACGCGCCCAATGTACTGCGGCCAACGGGCACAATACTGGGCCAGTACTGCTGGCCATTGCCCACCAGCGGGCATGTTCGAATCCACGTGGACATAATTGCCAGAAACTCGGTTCCACCAGCCCTCCAAAACCACCCCGCCACTTGGGGCGCGGACTGCGAGGCTGTTCGTGGGCAGTCAGCGAGGCAGGCAGGCGGCCCGCGACGGCCCAGCCGCACGGGATCGGGATTGACGCGCTGACTGCGCTGTTGTCGCTCGACGATTGTGGATACGGGGCCGGTCGCCATGAATCCAGCGCCTCCCAGGACGCCGGTGCGTCTCAAGAAGCACAAGCATATCGTGCTGACAGCTGGAGTCGATTCCACTTTTGCAAATGAAGGGCTTTCTAGGGTTTATTTTGCAGCTCTGGCCTTGCGGCAGGGTGCAGGATGCGCCTGGGCGAGTTGTCGAGTTGTTGCTCAGGGGCGACATCGACACTTGGGCTCCAAACATGGCGACCCTCGGCAGTTCAACAGGTGTTTAATTCGCTGTCACTTCATTGTTGTCTGTCCGACAGACGGGGGATGGGACCAGAACTGTCGCCGACGCAGGCGAGGGGGCGCCCGGCGCCAAGGGCGGGAGGAAGCGCGTCAGCTTTGCTGGCATGCGTGGGCTGGAGAACGTAAAGGTTTTCAAACAGGTGGGAAGCTCGGCTCCCAAAAGACGACCCGTAGCCTATCGTGTACCCGTGAGTTCGATACTATCTTCCATGCATATGCCAAGATCGAGTGCATGGGAAGGCACAGTTGGTGTCAAAACCTGTGTTGAAACCTTTATACTGAACCATGGTCCGATGTGTTGGAACGCTTTTCATTGCCTCACTGCTGATTGAGTATAACTTGTTTGCACTGACACTGCGATCACAATCTCGTTCATGTCTTGTGCTTCAGAATGAGGGCGCCCATGCAAGTGCGCTTGCCCAACGTGACGCCACTGGGCCACTGGTTGACTTGTTAACCGGCAATCTGTCCACCGTGACGGAAGAGAGCAGTAGGTTTGGCAGCGAGCAAGGTAGAGGGACAATCAGAGCCACATTGTTGCCATGCTCATCAAGTCTATTTATCTTATGTCCTCACCTTCGCTGCTGCAAAGCAGCACCTTGTCGATCTCAATCATGTTGCATGCATAGTCGTCATAGCCTTCTTATCTGCGCCTTTCCATTGAGCAACTTGCCCATGCAAGCAACTGCTCTGTTGCCTAGCCAACTTTTGCTCTTTGCTGTTGCTGGTAGGTGTTGAAAGCATGAAATCCAGGCACCAGGATTCTGACAATCACCCATCGCTCACTGAAGGCCGAAATTCGACATCCAATTTGGTCTTCCAATTTGAAAATTCCGCACCACTGGGGGCAGTCACTGGTGACAGGAGGGCGTCTGTGTTCTCTGGTGCACAAAATGGCAGCCAGAACACATCCTCAGGCAGGTGGGGATTTCAATTTGAGGAGACTGGGCCAGTGGCCGGATTGCTCATCGACCCCAGACCATCGCTCACTACAGGGGGCCAGACTTTGGGCCAGAACCTAACCTCCGAAGCGAGGGCATCTGTAGAAGAAATTGAACCGGCAACTGGATTGACTGGGGGACAAAACCCTACCTCCAAGCAGGGATTCCATTTTGATGGCACTGACCTGAACTGCGGATCCTCAGTTCCTGCCAGAGGCCCCATTGGCACCCCAAATGCACAACTTGAGGATTTGAGGATTGATGATGCTCCCCTGGCGTCCATCAATGATGGCAGATCGTCGCTGCTAACCAGGGGCAATACTGGTGGCGATGGCCTCACATCCAGATGGGGCACCCACTTTGAATCCACAGAACCAGTGATTGGGGTTGGATTTGAAGGAACAGCCCCAACAGCCAGGTTCCTGTCAACTGCACAAGGTAAGCTTGCAACGTTACTCACAGGATAGAACGTCTTTTTGCCATTCTTGCAAGAGATGTCTTGTTGGGGAATTTTGTCAAAGCATTGGATCGCACAGTGGTGGCTGTGTACAAGTGGTGTATGGACAGCACACTGAAGATTTCACGAACCAGCCCTAACGCTAACAGTTGCAGAGTTTCACATTATGAGCCTGCCACATGCTTGGCGTCGAACTTTGCATTGTCAAGTTTGGCAAAACCCCCTTGTGTCAGGCGCAGGTGGTGAAGGACAGCCCTCCAGAAGGCCGGCAAATGTTTCAATGACCATGGAGGTCACAGAAGTGTCAGATCCTCTAGAAGGGTGGGAACTGGGGACAACGCCAAGGGCACTTCAGCAGAGCCTGATGTCACCCAGAAGCTCCACAGGAGTACTGATTGGAGCAGCAGGAGGTGGGCCAAATGCAGTTGTGTGCATGAAATTCTCCATGGTTCTCATATGCATGGCCGTATCTGTACTGGTATCAGTTCCAGTATGGCCACATCAAGTACTTTGATACGCCACAATGGTGTAGTGCAGACAACATTTTGCATTTGTAATTTGACGTTTACATTACATGGTATTCTTGCAATTTCTTTCCCCAGCATGCCATTATGGTGTGCAATTCCTTCGATCTAATCACCCACGCGAACAAATCAGACCCTGGAGCCCACAAATCGACGAAGGCCAACGGCGTCTTAGTACAGCACCTGTTACTGAACGGCACCTATTCCTATCATCATGCTTCCGGCTCTTTTCATTACGTGTTCCTCTGCTTCTGAAGGTGATTTTGGGGGGTTTAGCCCCAAGGCTACCCAGCTTGTGGATAATTCCGACACCCTGCGCATGTTTGACGTTCCCCCTGATATCTTTGCCCTGGAGCCCGCCAATCGGAGCCAGAACATCACCTTTATGGTAAGGCCTTGCTCAAGGAAATGGTAGATGCCCTGGCTATTGGAAGATGATCCCTTTTCGTGTGCGATTCCTGCTTGCTTTGGCAAAAGTGCACAAGAAGACAGCACCAGGAATGTGCATTTGTTAACAACCATAAATAACCATAGGTACTGACGATTCTGCAGTATTCTGGCACAAGCTGAAGGCTGTTATGTAACAAATTCATGGGTGAGTCTTTGCACAATAAAGATAAGCATGCAATGTACTGCGCTTGCAGCCCATCTGAGCAAAATGGTTTGTGCGATTCTTTCCATGCCATCAAGGAAGATGCAGTTGTCATTTTGTGCAATAGGGATGCACTCAACACACAAAGCAAATCCCATGGTCTTGCATTTCCTTTCCTTGTGTCGGTCTTTCCAGGAATTCGTGCAGCTGGCAGGAATGGATTTCACTGGCCGCTTTGTGCCCCGGCGTTCAATGCTAACGCCCATCACGCCACGGCAACCACCAGCCACCCTAAAGGACAGCTTGGTCCAGCTGGCGTTGACTGCTGTGGAGCTGGAGAAGTATACCACTACAATTGCAGAGCTCCAGAAAGATGTCAAAGAGCAGCAGAAGCTTACACAAGCCTTGGAAGGACGCCTTGCTGCCAACAATCCACCTATCTTCAAGAAAATGCAGGTACAGTAAATGTTGTAACCAATTTGCTTCGCTGTGTGCTGTTAACTCTGAAGTCAGAGACTACTGCATATGCTGCTCTGAAAAAAGAGCATTACAAGGATTCCTGAGGGGGGTGTCATGGTGCCCTTGGCACGTTTTGCCTTCAGGTGAAATGACATGTTATGGATGATCACTTGCATGGAGAATGCCATACACAGAGCCTTTTTGCTTATGGTCACTTTTGATACTGCTTTCAGTTTGCCAACGGCCGTGAAAGGGTGCAGCTGAAAGCTCAACTGGACACGCTGAAGGCCTGCTGCTCCTTGAGGGCCTCCCACAAATGGAGGCAGAAGCGCAAAAAGATGGAAGAAAGGGAGGAAGATATTCTGAAGACTGTCGTGAGGCTCATCAAACATGACAATTCATACCTTGAGGTGTGATGCTTATGCACCTGCACCCAGCAAGGGCTGGACATTCCTTCCCTCTGCAGGGAAGAGGGAGTCTGTTCATGTGCTGGACTTTATGAAGAGTGTGCTTTTGCTAGGCAACATAATTCACCTGGACTGCATTTATCAAAGTTTCACCATCCTCATTGTGCAACATTAGGTGCTGTTCGCATTCTCCAGTCTCGACTTCTGAAGCATGCAGTGCATTGTATTTTCCTTGCTGCACCAAGTGCAAATGATGTGTCAGCTGGGAAGCTGCAAGCATATTGTAGAACAAATGCATTTGTAAGGGAACAAGTGGTCAACAGATCTGGTTTTCTATTCGATATTGGATATTTTGGCAATACGCAACTGAAGCGCTCCATGTCAGTGTTTGACGTGGATGTCGCCATTCTTTGTGCAGTCCATCATCACCAGCACGAAACTCTTAAACCATCAGATGGAAGAAGCTGCAAAAGCTGGCAAGAGAGTAAAGGAGACTGAAGACACAGAACGGAAGGTGCTTTTTGCAGATGGCCTAATGCGTTGGCAAGAATTTCGTGGCAGCACATTTTGTTGGTTGATATTGAATCACGTCCCCCATTGTTGTCACAGAATTACGCAAGGGCCCAGTTTGCAGCATGCAGGCATGCATGATGCTGGTACCTACAGCCCTGGCTGCTGTCAGCACATAGCTATCTGGCTTTCTTTGCCTGAAGGTGTATGTTTCAAGGAGTGAAACCCAATGGAACTGATGCCATCAACAGAAATTCATTCATGGAATATCCATCGTTCTGTTGTGTCAGCTAGGTTGCCCCTGACAGAAGTGTAAAATCATGTGCAGCTCTGCAGGAATGGCCACTCTGACCTCCAAACACTTGGGTATTTGGGCACAACAGTCTTGCATAAAGCTGTGTCTCCTAGCACCAAGCACTAGTGCTCATGTAAGACCACACAATGAAATCAATTTCATCTATACTTGGAAGTCGCCATCTTTGGCAATACTCTTACCAGTGGCTGCATCCCAATGAGATAGAATGAGAGCTTTTGGCAGTGAGCCTTGAAACGATCTTGCAGAGCCAGTGTGAAGTGTGTGCATGTATGTGAAGTATGCACAGTTGCCAGTGGGCCTTTCAGGTTTGTACCCTAACTGTGTCTGCGCGCAGGCCATCGCAGAGTTGGAAAGAAGCATTCAAGAAATTGATGCTAAAAATAGTGAAACTGAGAGACGGGTACAGGCTGCAGAGGAACGTAATGCAAAGATCGAGGTAACTCCACAGTGGTCCTGCCAAAGCACACTGTATTTGCACAGACTGATTGTGATCTCAAGCGTGAACTGTTTGTTCCTTCTTGCCATCCTCTCTGTGATCAGGAAATATTATGCTGTCAGTGGGCATTCGTTCCCAAACGGACTCCCTGAGTTGCAAGGAAAGACTGTAAAGGGTGGATTACACAATACACTGTTTGCCCAAGTGTGCAGCAGTGAATTGACAACCAAATCATTGTTGTTGTTCATCAACATACAGTGCCGCCGTAGTTGTTTTTGATGTACCGTAGCTTTTAACTGTGTTCGCCACTTGTACCGTGTTCACCTGAATCAACGTGTTCACCCTATTCACCATGCATGTTTTACGTCGTCTTGGCGATATCAAAGGATTCCACACCTTGGCAACTCCGTTTGCTTATGTCTATTCAGCTACTATCTTTACAAATTGTATTTGCGACCCTTTGGGAGGCCCTTTGCGTCCAGGTTGGCAAAAGAAAGCCCAGTTTTCAGATGCTTACTGTTCCTTTTCCCTCAGCACCTGCGATTGACAACGAATGACAATGAACCTGTCGTCCTAGTACTTTCTTTATGGGTCTTAGAGTATGCTGACGAAGGTACTGTTACAGAGACTGGCAGAGTGGGTATCACTGCAGAATTAATTGAATGCATGTTCTGGTGCTTTCTGTGAATGGTGGTACTCAAGCATGGCTGCAAGTAACTCTCCAAAAGCGGGTGGGATATATGAGTTGAAACAAAACGGCTGCCAACTCTCAATAAGTAGAATGTGAATATGCAAGGAAAATGGGGCTGATAGGACACACATATGGGCTGTCGAGGCATGGTACTTTTCATCCACAAGCTGTTGCGTTCATTTTATTTGAGTTTCAGCTTTCTTGCAGAAGCAGAAACCGTTTTTGCATCGCATACTCATGATGTTGCGTAATTGCTGGCAGAAAGAATCGATCATGTGTTTCCTTGCCAATCCCTGTGTACAGGCCGAAGTGTATGCAAACAGAGAGAAACTGGGACAAATGATGCTGGATGTGCAAGACCACGAAGAACGTCTGCAGACAAAGGCTCATAGTGCTGGGAATCTGATGAGTGCAAGTGATGCAGAGAAGTTGGAACTCTGCAACCTCAACTTCCATCTTCAAGTGAGTTGGCTTTCCAGCCTGTTTTGCCAGTTTGCAAGCGTACCTATGCATCAATATAGAAACAAGTAATAAAACGAACGTTCCCAATTCATTCAATTGCATTGTCCGTACCATGCCACACATGCGGAGACAAATGTTCCATGTACTTTGTGTGTGGAGTTCCTATTGGTTCCTATTGACAGCTACCATCGCCTGCTCAAATTCCTGCAATCGGATTGTCGTCAAGGCACAATTATTTCCCCCACACCAGTATGCTATCCCTTGGGCATGTGGAATGTTGCTATTGCCGAGGTTTTCTGCCATGCATTTTGCCAAACTAACATGGGCAGCGCACGGAAGGGCTTTTGTGGGATTTTGGGGTTGCTTGGGCTGCCAACCTCTATTGATGAATAGCACAGCTGGTCATTGTTTCGGAGAAGCGTTGCAGGCACTCCATATGTTTAGCGATGCAGCACCAGTGCGAGATCTTCACAGCATCACAGGTGCTATTAGGCAACGGCTTTCGTGGAGGGTGGGGGTGGCAGCAACTTTACAGACCTGGGCAATGTACCCAACGTCCTATTAGATGGAGGAAGGGGATACAATTCACAGCATTTGCACAAGAATATTGAGAAGTATTGTCTTTCAGCCAGTTCTGCCTCACTCTGCAAGCGCATTAGACATTGTCAATAGAGTCAGAATGAGGCTGTGGACAGAATTCAATTTGTTGTTTCTCTCTGCTTGTCATTCCCTGGTTCAAGGCTCACTGCAGTTGCTATTGTATTTCTTGTAGTCATGGACGTTTTTGAAGTTCAAGCAGGAGGGTTCAGCCCTGAACGTAGACCTTCAGCTCTGTGACATGTTCCACGTCCAAGTTACTCTTCCCACGAAAGAAGCCAAAGCACAGCGTCCAGCATGCGGTTTCGTTGGGATGGTGGAGCCAGGTAGGTGCCCGTCCAGATGCCTTCCAGCATTCCTCAGCACCAGTCAAAGCTAAGTTGCCTTGTGGTGCACTGTTTTGCCCTTGTCATCTGCTTGAACTGCACCTGGTGACCATGATGATATTGAATTCTGTTTCATATTTGTCTTCAGGTTATTTGAACTTCTCTTTGGTGTCAATAGTTTGTGTCTTTTAGGTGTTTGGTTGCACTGTTCATCTCTTCAGCAGGTGTAGGAGTGGGTTGTGGTATGCCTTTTCCACTGGCCTGGGCTTTTGGGCTCATTCCGCATTGTCTTCTGCCAGGGCTTTCAAACTACAAGTGCATGTTCTGCTGGCGCTGCAAAGTGCATGCTTCAAGAGCCTTGCATATTCTGGGTGAACTTTTTGGGCCTTTGGGAACGCATTTGCTGTATTTCCAGTGTTGCTTGACACTAAAAATTTAGGTGATAATTGTTTTGTTTTTTTGCTGAAGGGCGTTTCCCTGAACGCTACATGAGATTTGCTGCTAGTCTGGCTGGAATTCAAGGTGAGATGCCGAACGAGATTTGAATCTGCATCTGTTGCACCGATCAGGTCGCAAAAGTACATGTCTTGTGCCTGCAAGGATGAATCACACCGCTCCTAAGTCTAGAATTTATGATCGGCATGATATTCTTAAGCTTCTTGTTTTGCCCTGTTATGAACTGGCCAAACAGCAAATGAGGGGCTGATGGCTGTGCTCCCTTTTGATTTGGGCGCGCAACACTGCCCACCTTTCCACAAAATTGTGATTTCTTGACACTGTTTTGAAGTTCAGTGGCCTGCACCACTTCCTCATGTTTGACAGTGAAGTTCTTTGTTCTATGGCACAGCAGGGTCTTGCGCAAGGCACTGTTGACCATTACAGCATCTGTTACCAAAATGGGCTTTAAGGTCCCAAACTGTGTATTTGAACAGAGCAACAACGACTGGCCAAGAACGGAAATCCTGTTCCTGAAAGAGATCACCACAACTCACCATTAATAACAGCGAAACTTCGTGAATTGCATGTACTGAAACACTCTTGGCAGAACCCTTGCACCTTGCATGCTTTGACAGGGACACATAAAATTTCCAACAGTGTTCACTATCCCAGGTTTTATCTCTTCACGCATCAACAAATGGTGGTCCCACATTCTATGCAGCATACAGCATAGATAGGATCGTCACTTGCCCTTTACAAACTCAAAGAGCAGCAAAGCTCTGACAATTCTTCGTTTATTTGTGTATGGACTGCGTCCTGACCACTGCAACAACCTCACCCTGAACCCAGAAGTACATTTATTGCAAACCACTGGTTCTATTCTCGGTTTCTCGCACTTCTGTTCCATTCTCGCATTCCTGTTCGTTTCAATTCTGGACATGCTCACACAACTGTCATGCCTGACACTCATCATGCCCCTTCAGTTTCATCGTCGTTCCTTGTTTGTTTGCTTGCCACGCTTGGCTGTTCCTTGTAGGGTTTTGAAGAGGCTGTTAGGTTGTAGACCAAGCTAAGCAAAATCATTCCTCAGCCACGCACCCCAATCAACAAGTCATCAACAAAAGCACCACAGAATTGTGCTCCAAGGCTCCGTGCTGGTAATTCTGGGCCCATTCTTGCAATGCATGTTTGTCCTGCCCCATTTCAGGTACCTCGACTGCACTTTTTGAGGGACACCCCTCACAGACGCGCGCCAGACTCCAGGCTGCCCACAGTGAGCTGTATGGAGTCTGGACTATCGTCAACGAACTGGACGGCCTGGCTCGGCAGGACCCGAGCAGGCCGGAAATCCATTTCGAAGGTCAGCGCGTCTGTCTCAAGACACGACACCCGAACGGCCAACGGCGACGAGCAGCGAAGGCGACGGCGCGCGTGTCTCTTACCATCGGTTTCAAACCAAAATGGTACCCGTACTATGCAGATTCCATGGCTATCAGCATCCGTGTTGACCGTGGGAGCGCTCCTGAGAAGCACGAACAGGAAATCTCAAGATTTGTGCAGGGGATAGTGGCAGGCGAGGACTACTTGCGGCGTGTTTGGAGCACAGTTGCGGAGTACGTCAGCACTGGGATTTGCAAATGACAGAATGGGCAGCGTTGCACCTTTTCAAAATTCAATGCTGTTCTCCGCCACAAATATAAGACGTAGCTTGGAAGCGATAGAGGCATGCTTATAACAAGGACAGAATCTGTGGCAACTGCGCAGTTGCTTCGCCAGTGACTCGCATGTGTATCTCATGAACACAGTGGCAAACCACACAGTGAAATGCGAATGGTCATTTGAGGCAATGAGCCTGCTGTGTGCACTACCGTGCTATGCTTAGCATTTCCGCAAACGACACGATGCACCACCCTGTTTTGCTGAGACACAAAAGTTATGAAACGACGCTACTAAGGAGAAATGCGAAACGGAATAGGCGACGCACTTGTTTTTGGACCAGGTGTCTGGCAGCTGCAAATGGCTCTTGGGGCGGGGCGCGCGTCCTCTCGTGAAACTGTTGGGCGTTGGCCAGGGGGGTCCTTGTTGGAATGCCAATGGCACAGGGAACGCCCCGCACAAATGTCGATGCAAAGACATGGGCGGGGACGCCACTTTGTGGCTTGCATTTGTGCAAGGCGTGCTGGGCTGAATGGGAAAGCCACAAATATGGCACTTATACTTCTGCGAACATTTGAACAATCCTCGTGCTGTCGACCCACGTGCCGTCCGCACAGGTGATCTTTGCACGCCCACGATCGCGGAGTTCGCCAGGGGGCACATCAGTACAGTGACCATGCGATCGCAGGTGACATTGCAATACATAACCATATGGTAAATTACGCCACGGCCCTCTGGCGCTCACCGCTTCCTGTTGCGACTGAGCGCCCCCTTTTGAGCGCTGCCAAAGTGGACTCCTATGTGCGGCTGGACAGGGCCACCCGACATCTCTTTTAGGCACAAACTTTATGCTCCGACGGCAGGAGCAATGCGGAATGAAACAAACAATGAACGACCCTGTTTCAGCACTGTGCGGAAGAATATTGCTCTTCAGCACAGTGCTAAGCCGTCCCACACGCCGCCAAACTTCCCGCCAAACCCAGAGGCCAGCTTGGCCTGTCCCCTTGTCTACGTCTAGGCTACAAGGATCAACTGATTACCCTTTGGATCCGGCGGTCAGCACTCACCTCGGGTACAGTGGTGACAGAAACCGGAATTACATGGCCCTGAACAGCCCAGAAAGAGCTTCCCCAGCACAGGCCGGCTGGCGCGCACCCAACGTCACCCTTGGCAGAAACTACTGAACAGGATTGTTAACTATGCTAGGGAAGACATTGTTTTGATTTTGGTACGCTTAATGTCAAAATTGATGTTAGGCGGCGTGGGGTGGGGTGGGGTGGGGGCTCCATACCTGTGACGCTGAGAGATTATGTAATTGCAACAAAATCGACATAAGGAGGGAAGGTGCCCCAAAACCCTACAAATAGGCAGCAAACAGCCCGTGACTTGTTCATAAACCACATGAAAGTTTTGGATGTCCAGAAACAGCCTTAAAATGGATCAATCTGCAACAATTGAGGTTGCCTGCCTTGCCTATAATGCCATTTAGAATTTCATTCTTCAACCCAGTGAAATCAGCGGAACTTTGATTACCTTCTGTCCTCAAAACCAACTCGAAGTTGCATATCACTGTCACATAATGTTGCTGAGTCATCTTTGCATCGGCATGGGTATTGACGATAGGGGTGGGGTGGGGGTGGGCCTGAGCTTAATGTCAAATTGACGCTAAGCGTAACAAAATCGACATAGCACCCTTCCTATGAAAATGTGCAATTGTACTAAAATCATAACAAAGTGGGAAGATGCACAAAAGCGCCGCTGATCAACCGCAAGTAGCTCAAAAGTTGTTGCAAAACCCCCCTCAAGCCTTCTTGTTCTCGAGGGAGTCCTTTGCATAGATCAATTTCCAGGCTTTGGGGCTGCTCCCATCTGCTATAATGGCTTTTGGCATCCCATTTTTCAAATTGCTGCATTCGACAAAACTTTGGTCGTTTTTTCCCTTAAACTATTTTGAAGTTGTATGACGTTGTTAGATAGTGTTGCTGAGTCATCCTAGAATCGAAATAAGGATGGACACCAAGAAGGGGGGGCACGTGGTGTCTGAGCTTAACGTCAATTTGACATTAAGTGTACCAACTCAAAATAGTGTCTTCCCTTACAGAGACAGCTAAGCATATCTAGTATGAGATCATTGGGCCTAGTAAGATCCGAGCTGAATCAATTTAGCCATTCACATGCAGCACGGTCCACAAGGTGTTCACCAAACGAGCTCATTTGTGCACACCATTTGAGATGTGAGGGGCACACACATCTTCGAATGGTGTGCACAAATGTGTGGAATGCATGGAATCTCGACACCGAGGCAGTGTTGAACTGGAGAACTTGTCCGCATAGTAGTGCTGAATTTTGACGTTGAGGTAGTCCCAATGTAGTGCAGTGTTACCGAAGTGTTGCACAGTGCTAGTGCACTGCCGCATTCATTGACCCCGTTGGTCAACCTGAATTGTTGCTCCCTGGGATGTTTGATGCAATGGGAGGCGATCGGGGCAGTGCTTGAGGCTGCCAGTTGACATCTTTTGGGACCACCTTCAACACTGAATGCTCGAGAGAGGGTGTCAAGCAAACCATGACTCGTTTGCCGATGATCAGCAACGTTTTGTTCTCTTTTTAGTTTGGATGTATGCCAGCATGTCTCGATATTATGCCAATAATGCAATTCATTAGCCCCAAAGGCCTTGAACTCGATATGGTCCCAAAGATTCAGAGCAATACAAGCGCTTACCACTGTCAGCTCAGTCGACACACAATCAACGCACACAACGACACACAATCAATGCATTTTCTCATTGAGTACATTTATGTTCCATTTAGTTGTAGCTTAGCCAGGCCATCCCACGCAGCGCACAGCGCGTCTTCAATGGAGGCCATGGTCTTGCTGATAATAAATGACCGACCCAGCGAAAAGGTGTTTGTTGTGAGGGGCCACGCACAATAGTTTCTGTCTCCCTTTTTCGTGAACGATACACACCATGGTGTTTTTATCACATCTGGTGCGAGGATGCAAAGCTGGCATGTGCGGGCGAGCCGATGACATGGAGATTGCCAACATTCTCCCCCGCCCCGTTCCGGCGTGTTCTTTTAGGCCCCTTCGATGCTCTTAGGTTAGGCTCATCTTCAGCAGCACTTATGCGGCGGCCCCAAGGGCCCACCCGCATATGCAGTTGCTGGCACTGGTCCGTTCCTGTTGGGCAACGCCTGCGCACTGGGGACTGCAACCTGTGAGCTGCGAGCGGCGGACGCAATGACCTCCTCCGACCGCGGCGGCAGCTCAGTTGAGTGGACATGGCTCGACATCCCGCGATTGAGACTGGCCACCCTTGGGCCGTCGCCCCGATTCCGTCACGTAGGCGGGCCAACAATGGCCGGCCATTGGCGGGATGCCAAGAGGGCGCGGGCTGTAGGCGGGGACACTCTGATCCTGTGGGATCCCCGACGGAGGTACGCCCCGGTCTGTTTCATCGTCTGGCCCTGCTTCTCTCCCTTCCAATCTCGAGAGACCTTTACTGTGGGCTTTGGGGCCCAAATCTGTCCTGCTGGACCGTCCCGCGGTGTCAAGCTCGCGCTCGATCTAACCCTCCCGCCCCTGCTTTTCCCCTTTACAACTCAGCGGTTGGCGCAGAGCGGTTGATGTGCTGTTTGTTCGGCCTTCTCGAGCCCCCGCCGGGCTGTTGGGCGCCACATGGTAAATTATGTGTCGCTTCGCCGCGCAGAAGCCGAGACGTGATGTGCATTAAAGAGAGAGGGAGATTTTCGCTGCGGCACCCAGCGAGAATACCCAGCGGCCTCCCATGGTGGTGGCCACGGCTGAGGAGGTGCGGATCCAGACATCTCTGTGCGATCGCGATCGCCAGCTAGCCAACATTGGAGGGCGGGCACATATGCCCCATTGGAGGGCAACCTGTCGATCGCACAGTTATATGTGGGCGACCAGCAAATGTGTGGGTGCCGTGTCAACGGCAGGGCACGCATGCGCAGGGAGGGGGACGCGAGGGGAGAGGCAGGGGGAGGGCGAGGGAGGGAGCGGGCGGGGTGTGTGGGGTGGGGTGGGGTGTACTGCCAGCATGGCAAGTCGATGTCCACTACAAGGATATCGTGATATCCAGTTAGGAATAGTACTATCCCTACGCGCGCAGGCTGGGACGGCGGCAGTAGTGGACATCGATTTGCCTCGCACACTGCAACATTGCAATACATAGCACGTGTAGAAACTCGTCCTCAGACCAGCGTGTGATGTACACGCTTGTACCGTATATTGACAGATCCAACTGGTGGCAATGGCTGGCAACGGGGGCCTCGTGACTACAGGCCGCTTGGAAGTGGCCATGAGAGTGTCTGCCGTCGCCGCAAGCGGAGAAGGCCGGGTGTTCGTCGGTGACACTGATGGAAGCAACTCCCAATTGGTGATTGGGAAGCCCTCTGCAGCAGGGTTTGGCGGCCAACACTAACCCTCGAAACAGCTCCGCCTGGTAATTGTGATGGCCGCTGGCCGTGCAATATGCTGTCAGAGCAATAAAGGGCTTCATAATGGAACATTTTTAGGAAATTTTCGTACATGACGTAATATTTTGTTGTATTTGTACTGCCAGTGCTTCCATCACGGCGTCAAGCGGGATTCTTGGAGCGTTGTCCAGATAGGAGCACCTCCTCGAGCACATGTTTGTAGATCTTGCCTGCTTTGGCTACGACGGGCAGCAAGAACACAGCTAAAAATGGACCTGCACCACGTTACCTTTCACTGCTTGCCGCCCGACCGCGTCCAAACTTGCACGCTCTAAGCTCGCCGCTCGACGCATTCGATGCCCGCGACACCAGGTCGCAGCCTTGCCTTGCGAGTTTGCCAATGACTCACCGCCTGCTTGAATGCTCCCATTCAGAAGCTCGTCACGCGCGGTCCACGGAAGTACATCGTCCCAGCTTCCAATCGAACACCCATCAGGAAGAATTCATCCGGGATTTCACATCTGGCTGTCGATGTAGGTCGTGGC